CAGATTTCTTAAAATGATAGAACCGTTGAAGTCAAGTGACATCACACAGCCGTCATCTACCGTCACTCTCAATGCATCAACGATCGCCGGACACGTAGCCGAGTACATTGAAGGCAAACAACTTAATGCTCACCAGCTCGTTGGGATTGGCACTGATGGCGCAGCAGTAATGACCGAAAAAAATAACGGTGTTGTGAAGAAACTCCAGGAATTCGCAACTACTGCTATCGGCATTCACTGTTCCGCTCACCGCCTCCAACTTGCGTCGTGTCAAGCAGCTAACGCAGTTCCATTTGTTAAGAAATTCCACACAATTCTACGGCAGTTGTACGACTACTATGACAACAGTGCAGTACGTATGGCTGGCCTGCATGCAGTTCAAACAGCACTAGGAGAAAAAGTTTTGAAGCCCATCCAACCGTCTTCAACTCGGTGGCTAAGTATCGAGATGTCGACAACTAGACTGAAAGAAAGCTATGTCAGTATCCTGGTCAGTTTGGAACGAGAGGGAGAAGAACGTGGTGACGTGAAAGCTGTCGGTTTTTTTCACCTCTTATCCAGTTACCGATTTATTGCAACAATGTTGCTGTTGTGTGATTTGCTGCCCCACGTCAGTCGTCTTTCCAAAGCGTTCCAGGCGCGGGAATTCGAATATAGTCAACTAAAACCGCTGGTGACGTCCACGATTTCTACTATACAAAAGATGAAGTCAGTAGATGCGGACAATTTACAGAAATTGCCACAATTCATCACAAATCTCGAGAAGTCTGACATCGTAGTGAAAGAGCGCGCCGATGAGAAAAATATTTGAAAGAGCAGATCCGTGAAAAATACATCAACGCATTGGTCAGCAATTTGGAGAAGCGATTCCCATCTGATGACATCGGTATTCTGTCGCAATTTGGCATTTTTGATCCTCATCGGCTTCAAACTGAACAATCACCTGATTATGGCACCAATGCAGTGAAAACACTGGCAGCACACTTTCTACAGAAACCCGATCAGCGCGATGTATCGTCTGACGCAGTGAATCAGTGGACACACTTCACTACGTACGCTAAGGAGTCCATCTTGAAGCAGATGAATTTGAAGCCTGACGCAATTGTTGACCATCTGTGCACATCGCCCATGGTACAGCAAGTCTTTCCATCTTTAACACAACTTGCGAAGATATATCCGAGTTCTTCCTTGCCATACTGCAGATTCCGAGAGAACATTCTCGCAATTAAAGCTCGTCAAAACCATCCAACGAAATCGACTAAACCAAACCAGCCTGGATAATCTTGTTCGGATCGCAATTGACGGCCCAACTGTCGACAGTTATGACTACCAAGCCGCCGTTCAAAAATGGGCAGAGAAAAAAAATCGACGAATTTCCCTGAAGAAATAAATGAACTTTACTATAAATGAAATAATATTATGGACACA